GTGGTAGTGACTAAAGTTTGTTGTCAGAGGTTTGTTTGCTATAAGTAACCATTACCTTAGAACATTCCATCACAGAGCATTGGAACTGAACTGTTGATTTAATATGACTTTACTGCAGTTTAAATGAACATAACTTTTTGTTAACACCATACAGTGCTCAGCTGCAGCATAAATGCAATGGTTATTACACTTATATTAAAGGTCTAGTTCTTTCTCTTTTTTAACATGTCTTTTATTAATAATCTGAAGATCGTGTATAGCTTTTGTGCCTGTGGCCTGAAACATTTTCAACTCATGCATAAAAACTGATCTAAAAAAGCAGGCTCTAATAAAAGGCAGGATAAGGACACTCTACTGCAATGCAATTATTCATACCAATTATAGACACCAGATTTGCACCACAAATATTGCATGCACAGTGGGTATTATGAGGGGCTTGGCAGAGGGCCAGGAATGTCTATAATAAACTGGGTCATCTCTTATAAGAATGTTGTTATTACACTTGAGAGGTCAGGGGATAAGCAGGGTTTAACCCTGCACTCAGCAGAACTGCTGATTCAATTTGCTCACAAGGATTGCTTTTCATTGTGAGTTGATAGTCTGTTTTCTGCTGGAAGAAGCTTCTCTCTGGTTTTAAAACTACAGACAACATAACTGGTAAATGTGAAGAATTCAGCAAACAGTTAACACTGCCGAGGATAAAGCTGAGCCTCAAATCAGCAAGCAGGGGATATGAAGAGAGGAAATGAGAATTGTGTTCACAATAGTAGTTATAATGAAGTAAAAATAAGAACCGAATTACTAGCTTGTGTTCAGCTGTGGGAAGTATTGTCCTAAATATGAAGCTTTGCAATATTATCTTTTGATATTTTTCCCTATGCTAACTGATGCATAACCATGAATATTATGATATTTATAGGACTGTAGGACTGTGGGTTTTTCCTGTTCTTTCCACAGTTCCTCTGATGATACAATGCATGAGAAAGTTATTAACTAAATTGATGGAAGTGTAGTTATATGTTCAGTGTAGAAAATCTACCCTTTATTTTCTCTCAGAAGTCACTGACTTTTGTAAAACCTTTATGTAATTTTTGAGCAGCTTATAATGCAGGAGTCAAACTTAGGTATAATCTTTGTCAAGTGGATGATCCTGTTATTGAATGTGGTTTGTGATTTCCTTAAGAAATTAATGAAAAGGCGTATGACACAGTCCATTATACGAAGGTAGTCTGCATTTAAATTTTGGACAAGCTGGAAGTGTTATTTGCATTTAGTGAGCATAAGGGTTGAGACTGATCCTGTTATGTTGGTACAGCAATTGAGAGCAGAGTGAGTAAAACAATCTTCCTATGTGCTCGCTGAGAATACCATAAAGCAGTTCACACTGACTGTGCACGAGTGTGCAGGCAGACAGCTCCTGTGGTTCACTCCATATGCAGTAACCTGATACCCTTTTAGCAGCATCTTTGTGAATCAGAGCCCTTAAATCTTGAGAATCTTTCTTTTGGGGTACCGGTAAAATTTCAGATCCAGAAGCCTGATAGATTCTGTCTTTCATTGCTGCAAAGCCTGACCAGCTGTATTACAGTCACGCTGCTAAAATGTCCCTTTCTGAAGACAACGCTTTCATCTTCTCAGAGGCTCAATTCCTACCTGCTTGGCTGTGTTCAATAGGTTACTCAGTGCTGATCTGGGTGGAAAAAAATGGCAGAAATGAGGTACAGATTCCAAAGTAGAAAAGCTCAAGTGGGATGAGAAGTACTAATTGGAGAACACGCTGAGTTTGCAAGGGTGATTGAGTCAGGCACCTCAGTGAGGCTGCTCTCCTCAACCCTGAGGGGGAAGTGACTTTTCATACTGCCTTCTATTCACACGCACTTGTGTTTACCCTCAGTTCCATTCCTGCTTTCTGGACTCTTTCATGTGGTGTGTGTGTTGTGGGTTTTATGTTTTTTCTTTTATATCAGTTGACTGAAAAACTTGTTCTCCATTTCCTGCACTGACCTGCGATTGGTATCAGTGTGATTCATGTGCTGCTGCACGAGCCCTTCAGGAATGAGTGAAAGGATAAAGCAGGCGGTATGGCAGTAACTGCAACAGCAACAAAGAGCAAAAATATATGTTGTCATCTGAAATACTAGGGATTGTTTTTGTCAAGGCAGTAAAACAAAAACTTTAAGTTCTCTTCCACCCCCCCCACCCCGGCCTTTCCATTGCCACAGTAAGTGGCTGTAAAAAACTTCTTTGGGAATGTAGCTACAGGATAGTTCCTGTAACTTTGAAACATATACTTTGATCTAAACTGTTGGCATTGACTCTACAACCCTGGTCTTGTAGCAAAATTGTACAGAAGTTGTGAGGTGAAAAACACTGAATAGCGATTTATCTAATAAGTTTTTTATTAAAGCATTTGTCTGATCATCAGAATTAACATAGATCCACCTAAAATGGAAAAGACATGACACTTGCCTTTTTAAGTAAAATTTTTGAAGGCCAGGTGGTTTTGCTAAACACTGCTTTCTCCACTTAAAATCTTCGTATTTAGTAAGTAAAAGCTGAGCAGCCTTTTCACCCTTCCTGCAGTACCATGCCTTTGGTAACTCTGTAGTCAGTTATTGTGTGTCTTTTGTCTAATGTGGGATCCTTCTGCGTGTCACTAATCTAAAACTTTTCTATTAGTGAATATTCTTGCCCTGTATTCTTTCAGAAGAAGAAGAAGCGTTTTCTTAGATAACTGGAAAATCATGTGGCAAGCAGGAAGCTGAACTTACTCCACTATCAGCTGGACTTTCTTTGGTTTTTGTTCTAATTTGACTGTTGCAACAAACTAGATGACAGAAGACAACACGAACTGAGTTGCTCCCTTATGTCTGCAGCAATATTAGGCCTAATTCCTTTTGCTTCTCTCCTTTCACCACGCTGCTGGGGAGGGGGGGAATTTCCACAGCATATTCCAGGGGGTTTCTTCAAGCTGTGCATATTAAATATGAAGAAATTTTCTGTTTTATTTTCCTAATAAGTGCATATCGCAGTAGGCTGAGTGAATGGTGGATTGTTGCAGCAGTGTCGTCAGTGTGAACTCTCCAGAATCAAAAGTGAATGTTATTTATTTATGTTTAAAAACCCCTCAGTATACTTTAGAAGGTGAAGTTGCCCTGAGCATTCAGGAAAGCAGGATAGGCCGGAGTGACTTGTTTCTCTTTGTAGTTTACGTGTTGCTATCATGCTTCTTTCTGCCTTCCCTTCCCTCAGTGTTTGGCTGCTGCTTCCCGACCGTAGAGCAACAGCTCTTCCCATCACTTTCAGAACTTACAGTCTATTTTGCCGACAGCTATAAAAGGAGATATTGCTGCAGTGATTCAGGAGATAACTATACTTGTAGGTAGGAGGAGCTCAGATCAGGCTACAGGGAAAACCAGTGCCTGCTAAAGGTGAATGGGCACCAGGGATTTAGCTTTGCTCAGCAGGGTACTCTTGAGGTGAAGTCCACTTACTGCACATTGCTGCTTATTCTAGAGCAGCCTAGAAATGTGCCAACTGGATTCCTTTTAGATTAAAATAGACTGCAGCGTGCCCTCTGGGGGTGCATCTCGTGTGCGGTGGCTGCTAACAGGCGCTTGGTGTGCGGGACGGGCGGCGAGCCGCTCCCCGGCAGCGAGCGTGGCGTGCCCGTGGGCTCCCACCCGCCTCGCTCTGCAGGGATGCTCCTGGCATCCTGTGCAATGGCTGGGCAGGGTGGAAGCAGCTTCTCTAAATCTGTACTTGTACGTATGAAATGATTGCCAAGAAAAAGTCTGAGTGCCTGGGAGCAGTTAATAATGGACCATGTTTGAATATAACTGATACTTTTTTTTTTACTGGACCACCTGGGATTATTTTAAGGAGATGAGGTTTTGATATGCCTGATTTATAGCCATACACTAAGGCGACTCATGTGCTTTTAACATTTTGAGAAATAGTAATTTTTAAAAGAAGAAAATTGCAAGGATTACCATATTCTGAAGATTAACAAAATTAGAATTGGTAACTGTACAAGACTGTAAAATGATTCTAATTCTGCAAAATTTCTTTTTACTCCATTTTAAAGTTATTCCATTGTAACTTTTAACAGTTTTTAAATGAGCAAACCCAGATTTCAGGTATTAAAATCATCATTATGTCTTACAAAATTCAACTGTTGAAATATGACAAATTTGGCATATGTGGCTACATCTTACTAGTGCAGACTTTATTGTTGCATTTATGTGCGCCAAGTAGCAGGAGAGATGACAAACATGGATTGGTATAAATAAACTGTAGATTTTAGTTAAAATTTTGGGGTAAAAGCTTTTGACAAAGCTTGTAAGTTCTAGTGAATGATACTGTATGCCCACAACAGTTCAAGTCATAGGATATCTACGATTTGTTTTTCAGTGTTACTCTTTGTATCAGGAATCCACTATTACATATTTTGATAAATGTACACAAAGAGTTAGGGAACTCACAAATAAACAGTGGAACCAATTTAAACTCTGAAGCTTACCAAATAAACATTAAAGTATTCCCTTTAGGAACCCAGAATCCTTTGAATTATACATGTATTGTGGTTTGCAGTAAGATAAAAGACCTTTAGGTGGGGGAGGGTGAGAAATTTGAAATGCCTTAAGGAATAATTTGCATAGATTGGGTGGAGAGAGTAAACAGCACAAGAGGAAAAAGTAATTTTCAGTAAGGCTTTATAGAACAAGATAAAACAAATTTAAAAAATCAGGTGGAGTTGGAACAAAGCTGAAGCACTTTAAACTTGCGTTAGCACTGCCATTGCCTTTAAAGCAAATCCCAAGGAACGCTGTACTGCCCTGGATAAAAAAAAAAAAAAATTCTCAAGGGAGAGTTAAAAGAGAAGAAAAGCCATGGAGACAGTATAACGTGTGTTTTACTGTATGCAAGACCTCTGGAAATTAAATGAACAGCATAAACAGAATTTTTTAAAATCTAACAGTATTTTTTTTATCTTACAGTTACAGGACCGCACACAATTTAGTGACCGAGACTTAGCTACCCTAAAGAAATACTGGGACAACGGCATGACCAGCCTGGGCTCAGTCTGCAGAGAGAAAATTGAAGCTGTGGCTGCAGAATTAAATGTTGACTGTGAAATAGTGCGGGTAAGAAATCTAGAGTCTTCCCTTATCTTGTTGCAGAAGCAAAAATAGGACAGATGAAAGCCTTTAAAAATTTCATGAGAAAGCTTGAAATAGATTTCATTTATTACATAATGAATGACCATGTTGGGAAGTGCTCTCTTGCTCTTTCTGCAGTCTATATATAGAAAAAAGCCCTCAGGTAAGATTCTTATTGATCAGCAGCAGAAGTAGCACTATGAGCTGTTTGACATTCTCTTTAGACTTGAATAAGCTTTTAAGTAGAAGTGTTACATTTTTTTAGGGATATCCTAGAACACTAAAAAGTGCTATTTATGTTGCTAGTAAGATACAAAGAAGCCTTCCTAAAGAGACAGGGAAAATATTTCTTATCAATGCTTATAGGAAAAAGTCATTGTAAACATAGTAAAGAAAATGCTGAAAAATAGGAAAAAAGTATTTCACAAGACTGTCTTGAAGCCAGGTTGAAATGTGATAGAAGGCAAAGAGTAATGCGAAGAATTCTAGGTCACTTCAATGTAGTAATTCTTATAGGTGTCATTGAGGAAGGATTGCTTTAGATAGTACAGGTTTGGTGTAGATAACCTGATTTCTGAGAACCATTCCACATCATCTGTTCCAGAGATTGGGAAGTTTGGTACAGTATCTCAAACTGTGGATGTCTCATTTGCTCAGTGTTTCCGTTCTTCAGAAAACAGTCCGACTGTCTTTGCAGTCAGTACAAAAACATGATTAGTCTTCTTTTCCCTCATAACAGGCATGACAATTGTGACTGGTCCTTTCAGCCTTCGTCCTCTTTCTCCACCGCTTTCTTAAAATTCTGACATTGCTACAAAAGCAGAACTAGAAGCCCTTATTTGAAACTTTTCTTTTGTGAAGATCTCTCTTGGGTTGGTATATCAAAATGGTATCAGAGCTACTTTCAGTATCAAACACTAAGCTGGTTATTTACTTGCTTGTTTTCCTGAGCACATGTGAATTACAGAAAATTAAATTGTACTTTTGGAGGCTGAAAAGAATTACTCTTTTCTCTGTAGAGAACAAAGCTGCTTCATATCTTCCAAGCTCTTCAGTTTGCTTTCTGAAAGGTGAAGCTATTTCCATTGACAGCATCTCAAAATGGACTCCTGGATAAGAAATACCTTATTCACAGGACAGTAAGACGACCCCCATGCTTTGCCTCCCTTACTTTGTTCCTCTAAGAACATCCTTATTGGTACACACAGGATGCCAGTATGCAGTTCTGTACACATCTTTCAATAGCATCTGCTTGAAATGCTTTTGTCTTCAGGGCAGATGTACTAGGCTCTGATCAACTTTATGGCATAGCATGTATTAGAACATACACAAATGAGTGAACAAAAAGATTTCTTTTCTTCATAGTAACTGGTGTTGTTACCAGTGTCTGACCTACCTCTGCCTCTGGTTCCTCTATATGGCAGACTTGAGAATTGTAGCAAGAATTAGACATAGGCTGGTCCTGCACAATGCTGCACTATTTTTGTTTGTAAGGGCTGTATTAATGCTACAGGACACATGATCTTCAGTGCTTGCTATTGTCCTTTCTATAAGGCCCATTGTGTGTGTCCCAGCTGTAGGACAGCTGGTTTCTATCATGCGCTCTAGAAGATCTGTCCTAAATTTGCTTGGGGATCTATATAGGCACACCGTATTGAGCCTCTCTCCTTACCTGCCAACTCACATTCTCTTCAGTAGGAAACACTGATGTCTGGAGGTTAGTGTGCAGCATGGTCTCCTTCCCCTAAGGAGTGAGGACACAGCAGTGGTGCAGTCAGCTGTAAGGCATGAGGGAACCACAGCATCTCCACCCTGTACTGCAGGCCCAGCCAGGAAGAGTTAGGCTGAGGGACACTTCTGGAAAAAGCTTTCTACTTTCAATGCTTGTACATTGTTGCCTTTGTCTTTCACTGTACCTTGAATTCTAGATAGTGTGCAACTAGCAACTGTTTTTCCATTTGTGATGTAAAAAAATTGAATGTAGCATATGTAAAATAGCATTATGTATATATATATATATATATAGCCAAGAAATTATATGTATACATCAAATAATACACACAACAAATATATATAATACATAAATAATATAATTTTATATAAATATACATAAACATATATAACTGTAAAATATTTATTTATACATATCATATCGCTTGTTTTGATTCAATTAAATACATGTCCTCATTTTTATTTTTTAATAGCTTTTTAAATGGAAATTTGTTATTTGTTCAGATAAATGTTGCTTTTCCAGAAGTACAAATGACTGATCCTTATGACCAGTACTGACTTGAAAGATCTCCAGTACACAAAAAAAAAAAAAATAAAAATCAAATCTCTTTTCCAGTACAAGGAAATATGTTTGCCACTATGCATAGTTCCACTGGTTTTGATCTTTTAAGGTTGAACAGGGAACTTTATTCCATAGATTTTGTACTTCTTGTAGGAGAGTGGACTTGCAAAGTGACTGCTGGTTGTACTTGAACATCATGCACATTTGCACCCTCAAATGTCTTTCATATGTTCCCAAGACACCAAAAGAGGGAAATAAAAAAAAGTTATGTCACATTTAAATATGTGAACTCTGGCCAATACCTCATTAAACTTACAATATTTCTTTGGCTTACATTATAATTATTGTTGATTGCATTTGTTTGGAGTTTTTTTGTGGTTAGTTACACATTTGTTTATATTTCTCTTGACTAATTTTATTCATTCATACCAAAATAGCATCCAAAAGCAGAATATCCTTCTTGGCAGTGAGACATTAGGTATGTGAGAAGGACAGATGACAAGTATCGAACTCCTCAGCGATATATAAGGAATATGAGAAAAATGCATTACAACTTTTTTTATTAATAAAACATAAAGCTTTCATACATACGAGGTCGAAAGCTATTCCTAAGCACCCACCACAGGCTAAATACCCCTCCTTCTCTTTCCCGGCAGCTCATCAGATGAAAGCTGTATTATTGAAGCTACTGCCTCAGTCTGAGTTTAGTGGCAAAATCAGCAGTTGCAGCACAAAGGCCACTCGTTCTTCACAGCTGACTAATGGTTCTTCTTGTTGGGGGCTCTAGGCCTAGTCTGGATCTGGCTTATGATTGAGAGAGGCATTGGAAAACAACTCAGAATCTTCCATCTTTATTTTTTAATTTAAGTGGGATTTCTGAAGGTTCCAACCTAGAATCTTTCTAGCATGTTGACACCCTAACCCCAATATCTGGAGAGCTGTAATCATGCTTTTTAAGTGGCTCCCTGCCAGTCTACTTACTTAGAAGCTGCCTGAGGGCAGATGTACGCTGGCTGCTTCTGCCTGGATTCTAGCCTTTCTTCCCTCACTCCTGCCAGTCGTCTGCTCAGCTGAAGCTGGGGAAGTTGCTGCTGAGTTCATTGCTGGCTGCTGTAAGTAGGTTTAATGAGTCTGGTCACATGCACTTTACAGACCGTGTTTGAAGTTTTTAAGGAGATAATATTTTAGGGATATCACTAGAATTACTAAGACAGTTTCCTAAAAGGAAATACTCTGCTCTTACACTCATCGTTGTACTGCTCCAGAATATTCACTGTTAAATGTAGCATGCAGGATATGGAACCTTATTACTTTTCTTTCCCAGTTTAATTTGAGACACTTTAAAAATATGTTCACCTTCTATGACATATTCAGTATGTTGAATGAAAGATTTTCTGCTTTCAGAGGTATGTAAAAAGACAAGATCTATCTTTCCCAAGAGCCTCAGTTTTTTGCTGAACTTTGTAGTAAAAAAGAAGCAGATTTGCTTTTAAATTTTATAGTTGTTAGCACTATTTATTACCATCATAAGATTATGAGAAAATTTAAAGAATAGCAAGATACTGTTTGGAAAAGAGACATAGGTCTGGAAGAGGTCACTTGTGTGGGGTTTTTTTCCTTTTTTTTTTTTTTTTCCCAACTGTATATAATGTACAAAAATATCTAGGTAGCTCTCCATGTATCTGTTTTACATTCCTCAGAGAGGAAAATCAGCAAACTGGGAAAGCAAATACCACCCAACAAAAATGATTTGCCAGAAATAGTGTTGTATGTGTCATCTTTTAGCTAAAGAGATTCAACTTTAAAAAAAAAAATTTCAAGGCTGGCACAAGCATGAAAGTATTTTTAGTAGTTGGGACTGCTGTTAATATTTCTTAATTTTTCTATTTGATAATCAAGGTATTATAAGCAAAATGGTTTTTACTAAACTTTCTCATGCTATATATCAGAACTGTAGTTAAAGTGTGATGGGGAAGAGGAACAATGCAAGTATTTCTAAAATAAGGTCAGAGTAATATTTACTGTATCTTTAAAGAAAAAAATCCTGTAATGTTTTAATGTGTTAGGTAAATTTTGTTGGAATGTAGACCTTATGGAAAGGATGTGCACTTTGCAATGCCCTGATCATATGTTTACAAAAATAGGAACTGCCCATGCTTTCCAGAGATATGTTTGATTTTTAGCAATCCAGAAATTCTAGCAATAAGCATGATTCAAAACCTAGTAACAAGCATGCTGTGTGTACATTGTCATCATAGTAACCAAGCACACTCTGTATGGTGGCCAAACTCCACTGTCCATCCTGGGCTAGCGTGTGGTCAGGTCCTGGAACAATGAGGATGGCCCCACTAGTGCTGTCAGTGTTGCTCCTATTTATTGTGGTTTACATGGTGTGGAAGCAGGAGGAGAGCCAGGTCAAGAAGCCTGGAAGTTAGCAGTCGGCAAAGAAATTAATTCCTGGTTCTGAGAAGGATTTTTGGATGCCAGTGGAGGACTGACTTGTGTGGAACAAGATGTCTGGAGTACAAAAGCTGTTCAGCAGAATTGACATTAGATGAGAAGTCAAAAGCCCGAGTTACTCAAGGGGAGGGAGAGAGTTAAGAGGTGAAGAGTTGCAGACGATTCTTACTACATCGTGTTAAACTTTATTTCTAGTCTTTAATAATTTTTAGTGTAGACTTTATCAGAGAAAGCAAAATAATTAACAGTTATGCATATCCACTTGGAGAATGTTGAATGTGATTTTTTTTTTTTCTTTTTTGGAAAATAAATTTTATTGATGTAAAATGAACTCAAAGCATCCATACCCATCTGATCATGAATGGGTTTCCAGGTTCCTTGGTCCTGGACTTATTTCATCCCCTACCACTGTTTACAGTATGGTCTTATATACCTTGCTGCAAACAATGTTTCTTAAAGACTTACCTTCCAACCAAAGAGGTCTGAAGGGTAATATTGCTCTGAACTTAAATCTACCAAGTAATGCTCTGTCATCAAAGTGGAGTGATGTAGAGCTATCACCTTGGACAATTTGTTCCATGCTGTAGGAAATCCTAGAACAGGTGGACCATTTGGGTCATTGGTTGCTTTAGTCCCCTTGGGGAAGTTGCAGAGTGGGAGAACCTGGATCAAAGATCTTATGTTAAATTTTTTGAATAATTCAGGTGGGGTGACCTTATAAGGGCATTCTAGTCCTACTCTTTATGTAGAGCAGGGTTGAATTCAGAGTTAGGTCAGGTTTCTAAGGATGTTGCACAGTAAAATGTTGAGTACCTTCAAGGTTGGAGGTGCAAAGACTCCTATAGACAAACCATTCCAGTGCCTCGCTGTAAAGCATTATTTTTTCATTTTTATTCATTCCTGCCAGAGCTTCTCTTGCTGGAACTTGTGCCTGTTGCTTCTTTTCTTTTTGCTGTGCACCTTCCCTCTTCTCTTGTATTGGAGGAGTGAACCTGGACACAGCATTCCAGGAAGCAGCTTAATGAGGGTCAAATATGAGGGAATGATCACCTTCCCTGAATTGCTAGCTACACTCTTGTTGCTGTAGTATAGATATGCTAATTTCACTTGGTTGTGGGCCTGTTGCTTTTTTTATAGTTTCTGATATCATTCATGTTTATTTCTCTTGCAAGACTTGGATTGGGAATCGAAGACGGAAATATCGTTTAATGGGGATTGAGGTCCCACCCCCTAGAGGAGGTCCTGCTGATTTCTCTGATCAATCTGAATTTGTTTCTAAATCAGCACTTAATCCAGGAGAGGAAACTGCTACTGAAGTGGGGGATGATAATGATAGGAATGATGAAGTATCAATCTGCTTATCTGAAGGAAGCTCACAAGGTATTTGAAAATGCAGTTACTACTGTGCATATATTTTTAAATTTGTGCAGTGTGCATGCTTTGGATTCTCTGTTGTACACATTCAAAAATATCTGAAAGTGTCTAACAGTCACAAGTTATCTACCTCAGCTATATTGAAGGTACTGTTTGGTTTCTTTCTTCTACTTCTCTCTGTATGAATTTTGTTGGTTTTGTTATCACAAAGCTTGCAGAAACCTTTTATCGTAAGATTTCTGTTTTGAAGATTCATCCGAAGTTAACTGACAGGTTCACAATTTGCTGATGCAACTGAGATATGGACAGACAGTGCAAATGTACAAGTCTCACTTCCCTAGGAAGCTAGGTTTTAAAAAATGCTCTCTGGGTAGCTGGCCAGTTCTACACAGCCACCTTGAATATCCATTCCTGTTACCCTGAGTCACACCAACAGTTTTCATAAACAAGCACTCACACATGTGAAGCTGCTCACTTTGAGCTGACCAGAGCTCTGTACTTACAGTTTTCCTGATACAAACCTCATGCTGATGATACATTCAGAAGATGTATTAGGTCAGACCTGGTCTTGAACTAAAAGAGCTTCACAGTACGCCAGAGCATAGCAGAACTTCTGCCATTAAGCTGTCTGCGGTGCGTTTATGATCTCTGACAAGCAAATACAAACCAACAGAAAAGATCAAAGTGAGTAGCAAGGGACTACTCAGAAAGCCTTAGGACTGTACATATGGGGTGCCTGTGTGTTTTCAGTAAATTGCATGATCTTGAGTGATAAGTGTCTTGAACTTAATTCCCTTTTACTCCACCTCCCAGAACCGCATGACCACATTAAATTGATCTCTCCCTCTCCCTCTTGTACATTAGCACTCCGGGCCTCGGGCAGATGAACTGCTGCTCAGCACATTCACTAGCTTCACAAGCTCAACTAATTGCTCCCAGTGCTTCTGATTAGAAGAGATCAATAAAGCCTTTGCTCTCTAAACTAAAAGAAAGTCTGATCTAGTGCATGCTATTGCAGCTTAATGTGCCAGACTTGATCTTGTCATTTTGACTGAACAATTTAAAGGAGAGAACTAGAAAAATGGGGAACTGCTAGGAATGAATTTGATAGCTTTGTCATGTTCTACTGTAAAGAGAATAAGATGATAAAGAAATGGGTCAAGTGATTGAAAGCCAAGCGAGATGCAGAATCCCAGAGTCCTTGATTTGCCTGAGGTGTGAAAGGAACTGATTTAGTCAGATCTGCTTGAAAGAAAATGGTGACAGGGGAAGAGTCTGAAGTCTCTGTAGCTTAAAGTGAGGAATAACACCACATTTATTGAACGAGGCTTTCATAAAACAAGATAAGGCTGTAAGACTATGAGTAGATTATTAGAGTCAAAGCTTATGGAAGTGCAAGAAAACTATAGGATTTCCACAGCATCCAGGAACCCCACGTTTGTTCCTTTATTCTACCACAGTAATTATTTCTATTAATTTCTCCAGTTCAAAGGAGTAGATTTCGCTGCTGCAGCGCAGCTTATTTTGAACTTCCTGGAAAGTATATCCACTAATAATGATGTGTACTTTTCAGTCACAGAAACATGATTGTTTTAATGTTTCAGCGCTATAACTTTTGGTCCTAATTTATAAAAAATCCAAAATGACAACAACAAAAAAACACTCTCAAAGACAGGAAAAATATATTTTTAGTCATCTAATAAGAGTGAAAGTGTTGATGGCATTTGCTTTTAAAATGTAGTGTGTAAATATTTAAAAAAAAAAAAAAAGCTATACTCTGATGCAAAATTAAGCATTAAAGTTCTCATAATGCTTTACTTTTTTTAAATGTCTGTTAATTGAATCCATAGTTTCTGTAAATGAACACATCTCTGTGGAGGCCATTATAGCTGTGCTAGTTTATATTAGCTGAGGATGAATATTTAAAGAGTTGGAAGTGCTGTAGGGACTTGCTTCATTCTACTATTGAATCCAAGTGGTGATTGTCAGAATTACCAAGTGGCTGGTGCTTCAGACTTTTTCAGAGTCCCTGAGGTGTACACTCCATGACCTCCATTCTTCCAAGTGTAACAATGGGATCATACATGCTCCTTGCTTTACAGTTCTCTTATTTGAACCCATTTGCTTTTGCTGCTAGCAGAAATCTTCCTCTGAACTTGTGACCAGAGGCAGATTGAATTTATTTGAAACAACTTCAGATAAAATTTGCTCAGTTTAGAGATATTTAACTGGTAGAAAAGTTATTTAAAACAATCAGCTGTCTGTGTATAGTCTGGCCTAAATATTATCCTATCTTCCCAAGTGTTTGTCATCTCCAGTTGAATCCTGTTACCCATGTGTTTGCGTGGAAGTGGTACATTCATTTGGTCATTATCTGCCTTCTTTCACTGTCCCCCCATGAACACTTGCTGCCCACTCACTCACCATGCCTCTTTTTCTCTTTAGATGTGATAGCTCGACTGTTTGGCCCTTTTAATGCAACCTCTGCTCTTTGCAGAACTCTGTAATTTTACTAGCACTTGGAAGGAGTATATTTCCAATTAATATCCTAGCTGCTAATGACATCGTTTAAGTTTTTTATCATAGCTGTCTTGTCTCTGTGTTTTGTTTTATTTCCTGATTTGCTGTCTCTATCAACCATTTTCTTCTTAACCATATATTAATGTGGAGAATTAAAGTAAATCTGGGAAACATACTTAACCATAGGGATGAACAGGCTTATCTTTCTTGTTTTTTCATGTTGGCCATATTTAGGGCTAATAGAATCATCTAGTGCTTGTGGTCAAAATTTAAGGATAAGATTTGCTGGTTTCAAGTGTGTATTTTGCTTATACATAAGAACTCAGCTTAGGTTCATTAGGCACAAACATTTGCCATACAAGAATGAAATAATCTGCTTGATCAGTTTTTGGTTCAAAACTAATCAGTGTCTGCAGGGAGGAGGTGGCATTCTGATATGTGCCCTGTAATTTCAGGGTATGCAGGATTTTTTTGTGTAGTAGTTTATTTTAATTTTTAAAGTTCTGCACAGCTCTGATATGAAACTATTAATCACTTTTAAATATTCCAACCTGAACCTAAAAATAAGAAGGTTTTAGTATGTTGCAAGAGAGTAACTGATAGTTTTTCTGTTTCAGGTAACAAGTGGCATGACGTTGGCCAGAAATACTTGTGATATGATGTCTCTCTTAATAAGGCAGTATTTTTTATGAATAGACATTGATAATATGAATTTGCTTTTGTATCTATCAGATGTGACATATTTAGTGGTAAAAACTATTAATGTTCATTCATCATCAACTTTGCATGAAATCTGAAAAACTAATTTATTTCTGCAGAAGAGACAAACGAAGCTCTTCAAAATGAAGAAATCGGTCACAAAGATGATGACCAGAATCCAGTATCTACTGATAATGTGGTATGTATACCTTTTCTTTTCCACTAATGTGACCTCCTTAATTGCTAATAAGGTTGTTGTCAAGCACTAGTGTTTTTTCACTAGGTGAAAACTTCAGTCAGGTGTGCTGAGTCCTTCCTAATTGGTTGAGCCCTAAAGGGAACTGTGCTAAAAGTACTAAAACATAGAGCTATGCACATTCGGAAGTTGAATTATATGGCTTTTTCTGTATTATAACAATCTGGTGTTCTTTTTCTGGAGTGCAAAGCACAATGCTTGGGTAGTGCTGTATAAGTACCTAGTATAGGAAAATAGTAAGAATAAAAAACCCAGACTGATAATTGAAAATGGTTTTCTGTAGCTTTTAGAAAGTCAAGTGTGTCTAGTGCTTCCTCTCCATAGCTAACCTTGAATATGTGAAATCAGACTGGGGTGGGGATGTACTCTCCATTCCCATACCCTTGACAGGGTATTATTTAGATGTTTCTTGTTTTCTCACTTGCATTCATACTGAGTCAAACGCAGTTGTTCTTGCTGTTTTTAATTGACTGCAGTGAGACAAGAAAGGAAAGACAGAGGGAGGAGTCATGGCAAATAATACAATATATCCCCTTTGTTTAGCCTGCCTTCTCTCAAATTAGAAGAAAGGAGAGGAGGAAGAGGAGAGAAGACCCCAAGTGGTAGGGTAATTTTTATCTTAAAAGTTATCTGCAGAATGAACAGGTGATGGTTCCAGTTCCCAACTGCACTCTTATTGCAGTCAGAGGTTAAACAACAGTTTAAAACATGACAAGAACATTTCTGTTACATTAATCATACACAACCTGAAGTGGGAAAGCAAACAGGAGATTCCCTTCCCTCTATATATATAGAGAGAGGAGAGAACATTTTCTTTCTTTTGTTAATGTATAATCATCTTTTGCATAAACTGAATGAAATCCCACAGCTGTATTTTCTGTGGTTGCCTGAGTAGAAACAGCTGCCTTTCTCCCTTCTGTTTACCTTAATGGCCTGCTGTGACCTTAGATATAATCACTCTGAGTTTCAGGCTGATGTATTTGCCATGGAGATGTAGAATGTAAAATGGCAAAGGTAAACGATTTGCAAAGATAATATCCGAGAGACTCAGTTCTTCAGTCTACATGAACTCCAGCATTATATAATTTGATATAGTAAGACAGAGAGGAAAAAAAGAGGAGGAGTGTTTTCATACTCTGTTCTGAAAACACTGTAACAACATTTTTCAAATGTATGCAGTTAAAATTGGGCTAACATACATTGGACTTGCACAGGAGAAACAGTTTTCTTTGAAATTCTAATCTGTTATTTCCCCAACTATCTTAAAATATATTATTATAACATAGTGTGAAGGTTTGACATTTATTTAGAGACTCTTTCTTCAAGCTGAGTCTAAAACCAAAAATATTTGAATTCACAGTGTTATTCAGGGTACGAAAAAGCAGCAGATCTTTGTGACATTAAGCCTCTGAAATGTTACCACTTCAGCTGGGTTGTCAGACACTGAAGCACAGAGAATGTGGTTTCCCCTCCCTACCTTCAACACATGCTTGTGAGCTTGGAGGGTACTACTAGTGAGAGACTGTTAACCTCTCTTGAAGGATTTCTCCTTGGTGATTAGAAGGAAATTTCTGATGACTGGTATGTATGCAGGCAGACAGAAGACACACACATATGCTGCAGAGAAGAAACGTCCTCTAAAATAACACCCTGAGAAGTAACCATTGAAGTGTACCGTGTCAGCGTGGGCCCTTGCCTACATTGTATTAAACAGTATACTAAAAACATAGTAAAGTTGCTTTAACTTGTATACAGTCTCATAAACATTTACAACTGTCAAAACAGTGAAAAATAGTAAAAACCCCCAAACCTCTCTTATATTGCCACTGCTTCCCTCTCAAAAATATAGTGAAATTCATAGTTTCATCTGGGCACTCATCCTTCTGAGTTTTTGTTGAAAAATGCCATTCTTACCACTATCTAATTCAAATTTATTCTATCAGTTTGAGATCTAGCTTAGATATGAATAAAAATTAAAATCTCATAAGTGCAATAAAACACGTACATTTTGTATTTTCTCCCATTGAAATAACCATTTAACATAATTTTCTTAAATAAGAAGGTTTTCTGTTGTGAATTAGAACATGCAAGTGGTAACTAATGTAAAAGTGAATCTTTTAAAACTTCAGATACGATTGGAATGTATTTCTAAGTTTTAAACAGCATTAACCTTGGCCTTTGACATCGTAATTTAGGTATCTTCAGAAATGCAATATAAAAAGCTCCCAAGAATTTTTGTGAATTAAGTGAAAATACCCATGTGTATGGATTTGGAACTGTCCTTTTTATCAATATCTTCTACTGTTTAGGGCATTTGACGTGCACTGTGGCCAAAGAAGGCCAAAGGAGACCTCTTCATATGTTTTAGCCAAGAAGTAGGTCACTTAAGACTTGCAGTAATGTCTGGTTTGCTCCAGAGGAATAAACTTTCATAACCTTCTTCACCTTGCAGGAGGTCTTCCAACAAAAGGCTTACAGAATAAAGTGCAGGCTTGTGCAGACTGTAATGAGATATAGTATGAAATTTAATGCCAAAAGCGTGGTGGTATATAGCTCCTCCTCTGTAAACAGCCTGAGTCACCGAGGCAGCAGCTCTGAGTACCGACAGTTTCAGTTTGGATTCCTCCTGGATCTTGTGGCTGAGGTGCATGATTGCCATCTAATGGGGGCTATGCAATTCAAAATTTCTCATGAGCAAACAAAAGGTCCCGTTACCTTCATTCTTTCATGCCAGTTTGAGATATGGGTGGTTGTTTTTCTAATCTATGCGTTCTAATATTTGGAATGAACCGTTTACTTCTGTTTCAGAAAATAGAAATTATAGATGATGAAGAAAGTGATATGATAAGTAATTCTGAAGTGGATCAAATGAGTTCTCTTTTGGATTATAAGGTGAGTAATTAGGCTATATAATGTTAAGCAGGATAGTTCACAGAAGGTTCAGACTGGTGTATCTGTAAGGAATTCAGCATCGGCATGTGGGAGCCTGCAGCTCTTCTGCTTTTACCGTGGTACTGCACATCATACTCTCTGTTACATCTCCTCGTGCCATTTACAGCCAGATTACTTGTATTTCAACCCAGAGGGAGGCAGGAAAAATCCCATTTCTACAGAGTAGTTACATTACTTTAGCTGTAGCCATCTGCAGCTCCCATCACGTGTCCCAAACAAAGCAATTTTTTTCGCCTCAAAACCAAAACTTTCTTTTTGTGCGAGAATTGTTTTTTGGAGTGCTGCAACATGCTTCTACATGCTGTCTGGTGCTGCCAGCTCTGGAAAGGGACATAACAGCTGGAATCCTCTAATAAAATGGGGGAATCTAAGAAGTCATTCTCATAACGTAGTACAGAATGTGTCTGGAATCAGGAGTCATGGGAGGGAGGAAAAGCAGTTGCATACCTGACAGCCACTGTCTTCTGCCAACTGGTAAAGGTTATGTGTTTGTTACTGCTTTCCTAAGAGTTGCCACAGTTCTGTGCTGTATATTGAGCATGTTTTTATGTATGTAGCTTTTTTTTTTCTTCTTTTTTACTTAGAAAACAGGTATATTCTTCTAATGATAATCAATTACCAAAATAATAAATAGGTGATATTTTCAGAACAAAAATTACTCCTTCAAGCAGTGTTTTCCTGGTAAGGGCAGTGGAGAATGAATATGGAGAGGGAATGACCTTTTCTTAATGTCACCTGTCACCAGAATGAAAGCCTTGTTGTGACAGCGTGCCCTACGGAACCTTGTTTGTTGGTTTGTTGTTTGACATTAGTGATTAGTCTTTGTGCCTACACATTTTCTGCGTAAATCTGAATTCCTTCTTTGGCTGGGAAAAATCCATAGCTAAATAGGCAACTTCAAAGTGTCCATCTGAAAGAAATGCATTCAGCTAATTTTATTCTGAAAGCCTCAAAATCGCAGCCCAAATATTTCTCTCTTATTCTCAGAGCTGTTGTAACCTGAAACTATGGTGAGCAATGTTCTGACTGAAGAAATGTGAATTTTCTGGGGGAAAAAGAAACAAAACAAAATAAAACAAAACAAAAACAAACAAACAAACAAAAAACACAAAAACCGAAACACCACCATTTTTAAAGGCTTGTTACAAACCTTCAGCTAAAGTTGAATTACAGCCAGTCTAGCAAATGTAAGCATGAATATCAGAGCATAGCTCTATGTTTGGGGCTTGGGGTTTTTTAAGTATCTTTATCATTAAAACAAAATGCCATCTTATAAATGCACTATTGAAATTTGCTTATGTAATTATTTGTTGCCACCAAAACCAGCCATCAAGGAACATACTGTATGCAAAACTGCCAACTGAATTACTCATGTGGTTGCATAAGCAAGGGTGGGTTTTTTCTTGCCTCTGATACCCCCCAGTAAATGCAACACTTAACAGGAATTATCTGTGAACCTAAGTGCTCTATGTGAATTGTGCATTTGCTAACAATTTCTGCGTGTGTATTTTTTTCATTATTATCTTATGGAGGGTGCACCTTTGGTGCTACCATGCAGACACCTTTTGCAAAAATGCGCAATGACTTTGATCTTGAAAAGTGAACTGTTTATTTAGGTTACATGATCCTTGAAAAGGTAAATAACAGGAGAAAATTAATTTTAGCTCTACACTAATCAACAGATTTCACGTTTTGATCTTGCATACCAATCAGTTGATAGGTTTGAAGGAGAAGAGATCTTTGGAATAAACTGAAGTACTTATCAAATTTAAATTTTTAATTAAGTTTGTTATTTTTATATTGACTTGCAAGTACAGTAATGTGGATTTATGCAAAGGTTGGAAAAATGCCTTTTTAGCCACAGTATACACATTATTGATATTTCTCCTTTTTTGTAAATACATGCCTATTTATTCAGTAACCTGAGAGATCTTGGGGAGTTTTGTGAGCTGACACTTCATGATACATGTCAAATTCAGTTGCACTAGAGGATGCTATATTTTAATTTGTGCTAGCTTTGAGGAATTTTCAAGTAATTTTTCCCTGGTCTTTGTGCCAAACCTTCTGCTGTAATAATGGAATTTAGTTGCTGTCTCTTCTCACAGTCACCCTGCCTTTTCAAGATCACTTCATCTAGGAAGAGACCTGAGCTTTGTTTTTCTTTATTTTGAAATGGAATTAGAGGTCATCCTTATAAAGTAAAAAGCAGTGTTTCTTTAAAAGGTTCATGTAAACTTTGGCCCAGGTCATTAATGCTTTAATGACAGTAATTCTGAAATGCTTTGTCTTCGTGTCACATGGCTATCCCATCTCTTGTGGAGGATAATGAGAAATGAAAAGGCACACACATTTTCAGGTTTAGTGTGACACTACTGGTCAGTCATCAGAAACTTCTGTTTGGATCCAAAGTCTAGGTGCGTTGTTCTATAATTCTACAAGTATAGAACTTCTGGCTGTACTTAATATTAGTTTTGGCAGGAATCACAATAAACACATTTTTACTCATTTCCACTAAAAACATTTAGTTTTAATGCAAGTGTGTTTAGATGTCATTAATGAGATGCAGTGCTGTTTAGTATTTCCAGAACTTTATGTAATTTTCCCCCACAGAATGAAGAAGTCAGATTCATTGAGAATGAGTTGGAGAATCACAAACAGAAGTATTTTGAACTACAGACGTTTACTCGGAGTTTGATACTTGCTATTAAATCAGATGATAAAGAACAGCAGCAGGTAAGTCCTGAAGTACGTCTTGATAACAGAAGGTGTTTGTCATTTTGTGTTCTGTCACTGCCTTGGTTTTATTCCATAATGCCCAGAGGCTCAAATTATGATTAGGGCAGCATTGTGCTTAACGTCTTACAGACAAAGAAAAGCTGAACTTTAAACAAAATAAAGATCTTGCAATCTACACAAGCAGTGACAGAGACAAAGAAGTGTGACTTTTACAAAGGGTCAGCCAGTGCACCAGTATACACTGAGGGACTGGGATTTGTCTGCTGTTACATCTAAGATATGAGATCTAGGAAAAAAGGCTTCTTCAGTTTCACTGCACCACATTTAATACATAGTATTTCTTTTAATGCTTGGTTGGATCACGTCTTGTATGGGGCAACGTTTTGTGATTTATTTAGGAAGAGATTTTGTTGCTTTTACTTTTTTCCTTTTGCCGTTAAGATATGTGATCTTGGACAATGTTTTTCCTTTCAATAACAATACCGACCTCTTTTTTTTTTTTTTTTAATCATCCAGTACCAACACTGACTGACAAGCTCAACAATTTTTTTTTCAATATATGTTTACAAGACATTTGAACGCTGTCATAAGACATATACCTAATATTGTATTGTAATATTTTTTTACTTACAGGCACTGCTCTCAGACTTACCTCCTGAATTAGAAGAAATGGATTTCAATCATGCATCCCCAGAGCCTGATGATACCTCATTCAGCTTGTCATCTTTATCAGAGAAAAATGCCTCAGACAGTTTGTGATTTATTTTTTTTTAATTGACAAAAAAGAAACCCCACATAATGTGTAGGTTTCAAGAGAACGACATTTTGCTATCCAATGTTCTTCAGTCAAAAAAGGAAGCCCAAGGTTAAGTAAACTTTCCTGAAGGATGACTGTAGTATGTCACGGCTACAGTTTGCACTGTCAAGAAATTCTGAATGTTTTTGGTAAATGAAAGAACTGTGTGAGGAAAGGTTTCACTTTTAGCCATTTGGCCTTGATTAGGATAATTTCTGACTTTCCAGAATAACTTGCTCTGTAGCAGTCTTTTTGAGCAGGGATCCAAGAGTGGAAAACAAATGTCCTGTTATACAGACAGCTAATTCTTCAGAGTTGCTTGCTCACCAGTCCTGTTTATTATTTTTTCCCCCATTTTTACTCAGGTAGGTGGACTAAAAATTTGGGATCCAAATAGAATAATGGGCTTTTTATGAGTTGTGCTTGAACCCTTTTGAAAATCTGAAATTAAACTGAAGTGTTTTTCATTATGTGACTTCAGATTGTTGAATCTTCCATTTTCTGACCAAATCAGCTGAAAAAACTTTGATAGGCTGACTGAAAAATTTGAATTATCGTCAATAAATTATTAACGTAAAGAAGCAGTCATAAGTGTTGTAACAAATTAGGTGGATTTGGGAAACCTGATAGCTGCAGAACACAACTTTCTGATTCTCTCACAGTAGCAATGGGATTAGATGTTTACACTACTATTTAGGGTTTTATGAATGTAGTTACAGTTTTTATTTGTCAAAGTCTGTATGCTAAAGTTCTGTTCATTGTTTCCAGTATTGGTTATATATTTTTTCACAAACTCCACTCCATTTTATGAAGACACTGTCATAAATCCACAGCTGTCATTGCATCCTGAAAAATATTCAGGTGTTTGCAATTGAGTTTTGCAGATCTTCTAAATGTGACCTGTTTTTGAAGTAACCCTGTCTGACAAATTTTTTGGCAAATGCCAGCTGCCATTTCTAAACTGTGAGCTTGATTGCAGGCAGTGGCTGTAATGAATTTCTTCTTTCCCAGCTGTTGTTGACATTGAATCCCTTTACTCATCTGATTAAATAGGTGTGCAGATACATTCAGATAAATTTAGTAGCGCATGTAGGTGCATGCCCATATTATTGATTCTCTATGACTTCTAATCTGAATATTCCTCAGCAAGCGTTTTTGAAACAGATACCTTCACAGTCTGGTTAAAAGCCTGATCTTTCAATTTTATGCCAAATAATAATTGACTCTGGTGAATCCTTATTCATGCAGTACAGTACGTAATCACCTTAATTTCAGTGGGAGGTCTAAGGCATAGCTCAGAAAATCCAGGGTGTTGGGGAAATAACACGTCTTTTTTTCTTTAACACTGGGATTAACTCATGATTTTAGTTTTTTTTCAGTCTGGTCTGTTCCTCCCTAATCACTTCTAGAGCTTTATTTTTTTTAGTATTGGTGGTGAGCTCTGTTCTTTCAGGTTTTTTCTGTCTCTGTCTTTTGGCATGAGGAGCTTTTCGCAATATTGTTAAATGCCAGGTGCAGAAAGGATAGTAACGGTTTTAAAATCTGTTTCAAAAAACAAAACCAAACAGTTTCACCGTTCTGACTACTATACAATTCAGTTAGTTCCCAAAAGACCTCTTACCATCTATTCTACAGAGTAACCCCACAAAAGCAAGCTGTTGGGCCTGTATTTGAGTTCAGGCATTAAAACTGAGTGGAATCCCAGGAGAGAGGGAAGGCACTCTGTGTAACCAGGAGGTAAGTGGTAGGCTACTCAACTTGTCCCTGCCTGAGCTGAAATGTCACATCCTGGGTGGCAGACACGTCCTTACAGCCTTACCCATAGGAGGAGCAGTATTTTACATGCCTGGTGAAATGACCACCAATCTAAAATTAAGGTTTGAGAGCAAAGGCCACAATACTATCTTTCAAACGTAAGATAAAGCTCAACTGTAATTCTGCTCTCTCTGAAAAATAATTTATAAAGGGTTTTCTCTACTGGGTTAACAATGCTTTCTATTACTGTTCTCTCCAGATAGGAAATTTGTGCCACTGACAATGAAACCACTTGTTTTCTGTGAGCTTTGCTGAAATAAAAAAAAAAAACATAGTGCTGTGATTTGGCACTATTTGGACCCTATTTTCCTGCTGCTTCTACTTAAATTCACATGACAAAAGGCAGGATACTCTTAATAAGAGTTCTTGATTTCGTGGTGAATTAAGTCATCCACCTTTATCTAAGATAAACTTGAATTGCTGATTCATATTTTGCTATGTCTTGCTTGCTATTTCATATGCCAAGCAAATTGAAGGAATTAGTCTTGAATCAACTACTCCCAGATTCAAGCAATTCTCTAAGTCCCTTTTCTCAAGGAAGCTGGAATCCTCTTTAGGATGTGCAGCTGAAACTCCAGCTGCAGCCAACGCCCCCGTCATCCCCAGGGGCGTGTTTTTCTTTGGCCCTTTTCTCTTGTAGGGTGACAAGACAAAACATAGCAAAGTACTTATGTTTTCATACCCTGAAACACTTGACAATATTACAGGATATTCAGGAAGAAAGAGTATAAATTGTATTCCTGTATAACAAAACGCTCTATATAGGATAATACTGTACAGCTCTTCTGCGGGGTTTTTTCAGTATCAGTGTATATTTCCTGCCATATAAAAACCAAAAATTTTAATGATATATTACCATTACTGGTATTTGAAACCATTGCAGCAACAATAGTTCTGCAGTACAGTGGCTGAGGAGCAGCTTATGAGGTCATGTAACATAACGCTTAATCATCTTTGAGAGTTACGAAGATGCATACCCAGGTATCGCACTTCAGCCTAGCACTGCACATGTGCTTTGTAGTTTGGGGGGGGGAGGGGTTGTTTGCTTGTGTCCCTAACAGGCAATGCAATGTGCTAATTGAGTTTGCAGATTGCATCCTGGTCCGTGTGACTCATTCAGCTGGACCTTAGAACAGTATGAGAGAATCGGGCATGTTCCTTTCCAGCTTCGTCTCAGTCGTACTGACAGACAGGCGTCGCGTTCGGATACGCGGTCACCAGGACACTCGTTTCCTGATGAAACCCTGAAAGTTCCTCAGATGATGGAAATCCCATGTGTAGGCCCATGGCACGATAAGAGCTGGTTTAAGGTTATTTCTTCTGTTCGTAGGATGATAACAAAAGCCCACATTAAGTGCTAGTTCTTCATTTGCATAGAGTTTTCATGACATATAAAGCTAATATCGTGTTGTGTAACAATGACAGAAATTAGCCCCCCCTGCTATTTTGGTGGTTTGGCTCTGTAATACGAATAACTGCTGCAGCAGAAGTGCTACATACTGATGTTTTTATCATCTTTCTGCTTTGTCCGTGAAAGATGACTTCCCTGGCATTGTTTATTCCTAATGCATCCATCGGAACGTGAATGATGAAGTATGTCTGTCTGAAGAAACCAAAGTGGAAAAAGGTAGTTCAGAAGAGACACTTTAAACCAGAGACAGGACTCTCTCTCTCCTTAGGGAGCAATGAAAGTCTTTGATGCTAGCAAGCTTGCTTATAGTTAAGCAAGCTGTTTCCTGAAGCTATGCCTCCTTTCATTTCCCTGCAGATGATGCTTCTGTCAAGTCTATAGGTCTAACAGAAGTGAGTAACAGTAAATATTCTAATAGTTGAAATTTTGGCAGATTTAAAAGTACACAAATAGATGTACCATACAAGTGTCGATTTTCTTGAGTGCTTGGTTCTTGAAGCAGCACTGCACTTTAATCTTTCCAAGTATTTCTTTTTCGCTAAGGCAATAAAGTCTGAAAATGACAAGCAGATCGTGGGCTTTGCAGTCCTCTGAGTAAAAAAAGGAAGGTACCAGTTATATCTTCGTCTTTTTAAATTGGGAAGTAGCTTATCAATTCCTTTCACCAAACAGAGACAGCTATATCTACTGTTGTGGTTATACAGTTGAAAGGGTAGGACAAATCAACAGTATCGTGCACATCCTTATTCTGGAAATGGAAATTACTGCTTAAAATCAACCAGCTATCTGATTTGGGATCTCTGTTGCACTACCATGTTAGTAACATTAAAAAGAAACTCATGCACAGCACTAGCTTTTCCCTAGGTACTCTAGTCGTAGCTGACTGTTGGTCTCAGGATACTGATAGCATAAGGAAAGACAATAATATGCATAAACAGAATAGCACAGAATATCTGAAACATGAAGAATTCGTAACTTTTAACGTTACAACCAAAAGCTTGATTTACTACCTCCAGTCCCGCTGCCCAGGTCCTTCAGGTCAGACAGTGAACTACGGAGCTGCTTTATGTGTCGGAAGGACTGGCAGCTGTTTAACCTTCAACTTGCATTTCAAATTCTGCCTTTTCTGCCCCAGATCATCAGAAGGTCGAGTAAATTGCTCAGTTGTGAGATGCCCGATCAAAGTTAGAGGGTGGTTAGTGAGAAAGCTCTAGCTAGTTACTAGAAAAAACAGAAGCTGATTTATGGAGTTTGATTTCTCTACCCAATTAGTAGTTTAGTACTGTGGCCAAATGCAGAATCTTAAAAGTTGCAAGCAAAAGAAAGAATAAGCAGTACTACAAAACTGAGTTTTTCTATGGCAGAATAGGGGTTTATTCTGACTAAAGAGTATTTATTTGTCTCTGAAAGGCACCAGCTGACATTTTGGTCAGAAGAAGACAGACACAAATGGGGCAGAAACTTGGGCTTGTGGTGGTTGCTCTTGTTTTTTAACAAATAAGCAATCCTCTTCAATAAAAGAGATGCTTAAGAATGTTCCCGTAAGGAAAATGGTTTCAGGTCAGTGCTTTGGTTCTGGTGAACATTTTACTGTATTACTGAACTAAGTCAATAATTCTTTACAAATTCTGTATTACATTTTACACACACTACCTCTGAAACATGACACCACCTTTAAAATCACACAGAAAATGTGAACTTAGGCATTTTTTTTTAACATTTTATAGGCAATAAATTATTCCAACATGTATCCTTCAATTTTGTGCTTGTTTTTTAGTTAAGTGTGAGGCATTCACTTTTTTATTTTAGTACTACTTCTATGTATTTGTCTTAAACACAGTATATGGACAAGGAAATAATAAAGATGTGATATTAGGGAGAAAAAAATTAGCATATGTTAGTAGTAGTATTTCTATGAAAGCTGAAGGATGGTGTAGTAAATGGGCTCGCTGTGCTATTTTTGGTACAGTTACTTTAAGGAATGGATATTATCCTTTATTCTGGTACTAAATGATTGTTGTAACATTTCTCAATACATCATAGGTTAATTTATCAGAACAGTCAATAAGTCTCAGCAATGTAATGAAAAGGAATAGGATTTTACTTTTTCTGAGACATAACAGTTCATAAATATGTCCTCATATTTTTGTCAGCTATTGTTTCTTTTTTTGCATAACTATGTATAAATTCCTTGCAGAAACAATTTTGATTTGCTTGTAAGCAAGTACTAAATGAAAATGAATCAGTAGCAAGCTAAGGTTTAAGTGTAAATGTAGATCATGTTTTGTAGTCCAGTTTCATCTTAAAAGAGTCCCTATAATTTCCCCCTTTGCATCTATGTCTCTGAAATATGTGAGGGGAGGTTGACAGAAGGTTCAAGCCCCTTCAGCCTGGGGATAGGGGAGGGAAGGAGACACAAGGAGGCATCTCGGTTGAATAGCAGAAATTAAGATCCTGGAGTTTTATCCAAGGAAATTACAATAAAGTAAAAAAAAGTTCTATACCTTGGAAGTCAAGATCTTCTACTTTGTCTTCAAATTTTGTGAAATACAGTTCAAAAAGTAATAGGCAAATCCACTGAATTGCGTTGGGGAAAACTCGTATTCTCAAATGAAAATTATATGATTTCTATGATTATTTCTAGAAATACTGAGTGTGTATGAATACACATATGCATATTTATAATGTGCACAGATACACTGAACTTGATCATCATATGTGTCTACAAAGGTATTTTCACTTAAAAGATTAATGTAATTCTTCTGAAATATATTTTATTTGCTCTCGTTTTTATGTCTTGCTATATATTGATTACATGGTTTTGAAATTTAGTCAAATACATCCATACAAATACTGTTTATAGTTTAATTCCTTGCAAAACTGGTAACTTCTAGGCTTGGAAATTTATTAAAATGCCCATAATAATGGTATTTCTAAGTCATCTTGGCAAATCGAAAAACTGCTGTATTTATGAAGGGGTAATGAGTCTTCTGCTATGATAATTTCTGATTTAGTTTCACTAAAGGTATGAGTTTGATTAAAAAAAAAAAAAAAATCCGAAAGTTTAAATACTATTGTATAACTTCAATGTTTTCCTTAGACTACAAAACATAAGATAATTGATGATCTTAAAACTTGTATAATTTCTTTCTGGGCTGATTCATTACACTTTATAACCTGAGTGTATTACTGAGTTTCTCTGTGAAAGTCAATATTTATATTTCATTTTTATTATTTGTATCAGTATGTGTAGCAAAGAAACTACTACAGATCTTAAACTGAAGTACCTCCACGTGGTCCAGGACATAGGATCTTGGTTTATTTGAAAGATGGATGCCTAGTGAAATACTCCATACATTTGTATTGATTTCTTTTTTCTGTATATATAAGGGTATTTATAATTTTGTGTTAACAGAGTCATCATGAGAAATGCTTATTTCCTTCTTTAGAAGCCTGCTCAGCTATTTTTATATAAAATGTTGGTCTTTGCCTTAATTTTTTTTTGTGAAAAGTTGTGCCATAGATATTTTAACTTATCCACAGATAGTTTACAAAATTTGCTTTCTCTTAGTTAACTATTTTTTTCCCCAAATTGTTCTAAATTGTTTTCTCCTCCAAATGTGTTGTTTTCTCCTCCAAATGTGTCTCAAGCTTGTTTTGCCTTTTTTTTTTTTTTTTTTTAAGTTTGGAAGATACATTCGTATGCATGCTTTGGTAGGTCAAGTTTTTCCTCTGTAGTTTATTGTTTATAGTTTAGCAAAACCTTTCATTGACAAAAAAAAAAAAAAAAACAAAAACAAAAAAACAACAAACTGAAGTAATGCTTGTACAAATGTATCTAGAATGGCCCAAATGGTCAGAGTAAAGGGCTATTTAGCATTGGTAAATTTGTCTACTAGACTTTCAATGATATTTTTTTACGTCTGTCAAGTTTGGGACTATGGAGAAATGAAATAAAGGTTAACTAACTCCTTTTCCTATATGAAGTTCTCAGTTTCTGTATTATTGCCTTGTGAAAATTCAAGTATCAAGAACTAAGTTAACGTCAGGGCTCAGCGCAGCTGCGTTCATGTTCTGCTTCCCTGATTCTTCAGTTTTCAGTATATCACTGGGCAATAGGAATTTCTGAAATAAAACTCTTTTATAGTTCTCTAGGTGGAATTTAAGAAGAGGCAGTTAATATTTATGGCAGCGGTGTGCAAGGTGAACACAGGTCGGGGGCTGTCGGTAATCTGTGGCTTCCTCATGCTGGAGTCATTTCCCATCTGGTGCATGGCCTGAACCAAAAGAAAATACTTAATTTTTACCAGGATACAGTTCTCAGCGTCTTACATGGGTCTCTGTGTTTATAAAAACAAAATCAGAAAACCAATATAACCTCTGCTGTAGTTTTTAGCAACTGTGAGACCCTGTATTTACTTCAGCCGTTCCTCGTAACAAGCTGTTCGTTGGGGACAGAGCTGGGCTGTGCCGGGGGCACACGGCGCCGTGCTGCCCGGGCCGGGGGGTCGGTGCTGCAAGAAAGTGACTACTGGGAGGAGTTTGGAACATCTTCATTTTTTACTACTTTGTGGAGACGTTTTTCAGAATGATATACAGAACTTGCAACCTTCTGTCCCAGAAACACTTCTGAAATATTCTCCCTTTTCATAACATGAAACAATTCACCTACAAGGCAACAGCTCGGACTAATTCAGGTGAACCATTAATGCTGAGGTGCTTTGTGTTGGGGGGGGGGGGGGGGGTGTTTAAGTTTTTCTAAAGATAAATGTGAGCTCTCTAAGTTGCTGTGCATCATGATTACTGTTTCTTAGCACAAAATCTGCAGAGCTGAACACGGTGGCCTCTGACTTCAGCTGGCAACCCAAGCAATTGGTTTGACACGCTGATGGAAATCTGGCAAAAGTTGTTCGTGCCGATTACAGTTTGCTTTTTGAGCAAATGTAGGTGATTAAAATAATACCACAGCTGTCCTGAAGAGCTTACAGTGCGGTACCATGACTGAGGGAAGGAATTTGAAGTTATTTCAAGACCAGGAGTAGAGGGAAAAATAGCTGCAAGAAATCCCCCGTAGAAGGGCTTTGGCGCCTGGCTGGTGGGCTCCTGCCCGCCCAGCTCCGACCAGGGTGCGCAGCTGAGGTTCTGCCTCCTCACCCTTTCATTCGAGGCTGCTTTTGTTCACACACGCTGCCAGATGGCAGTGCAGCCACGTCCATGCGTACCGTGTAGGCACACGCGTGCTCACCTGACTCTTTTCTCTTGAACTGCAGAGCTGTATTAACCAGATTATTAACAAAATGCTCAATGCTCTGAAGTCAACCAAATTAATCCAAACCTTGGAGCTAAAACCACATTCAGCTATTGAAATGTTGGCTGCAGAGGAGGCAGTTAAAAAAAACAGAGAGAGATGCAGACGAATGAAGAAGTAAATCTGACTCTAAAGATTTAGTAACAAATTTACAGGTGATGCTGAACTTGGATGTTTGGGGGAAAAACCACCCCAGTCAGGGATGGCAGCTGTAGCTGTATTGCCACCTGGTGGCGAAAACCCCAGTAATGGGGGAAAAACTGCCTTCAGCTGTCCCCACACTTTGTATTTCAGAATGACCAACTGGTTTTGTCTAAATAAAAAATCCAATATTAAAATAAGGAATGTTGCATTTAGTAAGGAGGAGCTTGAGATGAGACTGAATGTGCAGCCTTAACACTGCCCTTTTAGTTATGACAGTAACGTGAGTGTGTGTGTGTAAAGGAATGAAGACAGAAAGGTTTGACACGGAATTCTGTATCCTTGATGATACTTTCAGATTTTACTTTGGTTTTAAGTTTTGATAAGATCATCTGCAGAAGTTGAACCAATACATTAAGGTTACCAGATCAGTCATAAAGTTGTTTGGTTTTTTGCTAATTCAGTGCTGTGTGGAAATAATAACTAACTAGGATTTCGAGACTATGTCTAAAGAGACTCAACATGAGTATTTTTGCTAAGACAGTGAAGAACAACCAAGTATGTGTCAGATACACGAAATTTCCTGGATCTGTTCAAACCTGAAGGAAACTGTTCCCAGAAATTCAAGTGAAATATCCAGGGACTTGCAGCCCAACACAGAGCCTTCCAGGCATTTTGTATTCTCTTCTGCCTGAACGCTGTGTTACTACAAGAAATGCCTGTAAAAGAAATGCTATGAAAAAGAAGATACAATATTGTCTTCAGTCATCTGAAGAGTCCTGCTGAGGTGTATAAAGGGATGAAAAACTTGCATAACTGTTGGCTTCAACCGGAGGGAGGGTTTTTTGCCAGGAAAGAGGCTAGTGCAGGGGTACTGCGGAGTTGCTCTGGAAAATGATACTCATAACCTCTGGCCGTGATGCCAAATGCTGCTCAGGAGTGATGAAAAGCCTCCGCACACCCTCTCTTCTTGTGTGTGGTGTGAAGGCTGGAGAGCTGGACCGGGCCCGGCTGCCCCTGCCCCAGGTGAGATCCCTGCAGGGACTGCGTGGGGCGGGGCGGGGCGGGGCGGGGCAGGGCGGGGTGGGGCGGGGCGGGGGGCTTTCCTCTGCACCACCTCTGCTCTGGCCCGACGGGCTGAACGCGTGTCGGTGGTGGGAAATCATAAACTCGGGGTATATTCTGGTTTAATTGCCTCCACAATGAATTAGGTTTGGGGGTACTAAGGCTGCTCCATGGGACGAGGTGAGGTGCAGCAAGCTAGGGCAGCCGCTCCATCTCCGTGCTCCCGCTGCAAATGAAAATGCTCTTCTGGTGTCAGGTCATGCGGGATTGATTCTTTTTAATGTGGCTGAACAGAGCACACACCGCTCTGCTGGGTGTGAAGGTGTCTGAGCTGTAAGAGATGCAGGCTGGGGCAGAGGGGACTTTATGCGTAGTTGTTCATTCCTCTCATACAGCAGCTTCATTCCCAGCCGAAATATTCCCCACTGGCCCTTCCCTGGCCTCGGCTCCGTGTAGCCAGCACGGGCCAGTGTCACCCACACCAACGCGGGTGCGTTACACGGTGCACACAAGCTGGGGACATGGAAAGGTAAATAAATCTTTCATAGTGAATGATTTGACCAGCTAAACATGAGCTATTTACGAGCTGTTCTCCATGGAGAGCAAGGGTGAGGGGGAATAGTAATGGAATACAAAAAACAAAACAAAATCAAACAAACAAACAAACAAAAAAAAAACCAGGAAAAAAAAAAAAAGTGTTTTCTATTTACTTATAGTTGGTTTTATTTTAGTAGGGAGGAAAGGAGAGGCTCTGTCATTCCTGATGAGATTTGAAAATTTTCAGACTTTATCTAATATTTTATTTGATTTTTTGTTTATCTCTCTTCTTTGCTAGAAATCTAGAATAATCATAGATTGCCGACATTTTTTCACTAAAAAAAAAGCTGATTGTAAATATGAAAGAAAAATTTTCAGTAGCCTAAATCTTCCCACAACAGTCTCCTCCTCTTTTCTGTTTAATGTGAAATTCCCGATTAATGATCTGTTACCTCTTTCTTCAGAAGCGTTTTAGGTACAGCTGACCTCACACCACAGTGATGAGGAGAGGAAAGGATCTCACGTACTGACACTTGCTTGAACCAGCCCTGCCTTTTGGTCTGAAAGGCCTTAGAAACAAGACTGCAGTGTTGTTATTTGGGCACAAGGCCAGCTGCATCATCTGCCCGCTCCCGAGGGGAGCCAGCCGTGCCGGGCGAACGGAGGAGCTGTGGGTAAAGCCCTGGCTCAGGCAACGGCATCGCCCGTTTTCCGGAGGGATGTGCTGGATTTCATCTAGTGCGTCCCAAGAATCAAACATAAGGTGATCTTTGCCCCCGCTCTGCTGGTCCCTTGGTTCTCCCATATCACTCAATGAAATAATTACCCAGCAAAACCCTCTGACACACTACGCACATCACGCAGAGAGCATGCAGTTGCTATTTACTTGGTGTCTCAGTGTTTTCATGCCTCTGTCCCCGCAGCAGCCAGGCTGTGCCCCCCCAGCAGCCCCTCACCACTTGCCGATGGTTTCCAGCTCTGCCAAGGCAGGAGCAAGACAAGGGCCAAGCTCTCCTGTGCCCTTCAGAAGCACAAGGAAAAGCCCCTGCAGCAGGGCAGTGTGGCAGCATCGTTGCTTTTTGTGTGTGCAGCGGGAGCCTCCACCGAGCCTCTGCTCAGGCCGGGGACGGGCCTGGGGGATTAACGGGGAGGGGTGTGCTGACCCCGAGAGGGGAGATAGGAAAGGGGAGCTCAGGGGAGCCCCGTCCCCAAACAGCTTCTTCATTTCAAATCGGAGGATGTTTCCTTTTCTCCTTAAGCTAAGTTTGCTTCTGAATAGCTGAAGCCCTATGTAAAAACTTCCTTGATGGTTTGAGGCTTACAAACCGGAGCAGCCTAGAAGAGAGCAGGTGGTGGTAGCTCTGTCTCCCGGGGGCTTGTCTCATCTTCCCAGGTGACCACTTGGTTCAGAAAACCAAGGCTCTGGCTGTGGAATGGGTGCTTCATTATTTAACAAGTGATGCTGGTGTGAGGTCCTTCCCCAGGAGCATCTTTTCTCCCTCTGGCTGGCGCTGGGTTTCCAGGCAGCCCCAGGTGCAGATGAGCTGCCGGCCCCGTGCCTGGAGCAGTGGCGGCTCCCAGGGCTCCCTCCTGGGGAGGACAGAGCGGGTGGGAGCAAGGCCAGTGGGGAAAAAGGTAGTGAAGGCTAAAAGGAAAGGGAATTTGAATTAGGGAAAGAAAGGAGAAGCGGATCAGAGAGTGAAACATGAGAAAGCTGGTGAGAGGAGGTGGAGATCAAGGGGGGAGAAGAAGAAAAACCCCATAGAAGTACTTGGAACAGAGGGGAATTTAAAGTGAATTTTTTAAAAAAAGCAACCAGCAAGTGAACCCCCATCAAAGATGGATGGAGCCTCTAGCAAGAGAGTAGCAACTGCACCAGGAGGCCATATCTTGGGAGGGCCAAGTCCTTGAGACGGCATCTGAGAGCAG